ATTTATATGTCTTACACAGTTCCCAATCTGGCATATAAGAAGGACGCATGGATGTCGAATAATCCCGATAATCCACGGAAGAAGGAGAGAGAAGAGCGCTTGAGGCATTCCCTCTACCAAGATCCCCTTTCCTCGTCCCCATCGCCCTCCCGCTATTCCTTCGTTGGGCGTCAACAGCAACAAAAGCCAACACTGATCACAACTCAGAGATTCTACGATTCACAACGCCAAGTGACGTCAATTCCCCAACCTCCTATCAACGCCCTCCGAATGGGCAGTGATATGGGACTGTCGCAGACGACCCCGATCAGTGACTGGAAACTACACGATGTCATGATTGGCGACGAGGGATATGTAGTGAAGGATGAGGTGGCAAAACGGGCCGTTGATGGCTTCGTGGGCAACGAAAAAGAAGTCACCGGTGAAATGGCTGCAGAGGAGGGCGCAAAGGGGACAGATAAGGGCAGTGGCGATAGGACGTCGGGCCGGAAGATTGAGGAGGCGCGCAAACCAGGTCTGCTTCTCATGAACGACTCGCCAAGCAGAGGGCCAGAAAAGCAGAGGCGAGCCCTCAGATCTGTGCCGAAAGAGGGGCAGCAGTGCACCATTCTGCGCTACGGTTGGCCTTACTTGGAGACGCCGGGTTGGCATGTGGATCTGCAGGAGTCGTTTGAGGTCAACGGCGTTGTTCTGTACACTGCGGGACATGGCAGAGGTAAGAAGGGCCTTTTCGGTTAAGAGTCCGACCCACCTGCACTGCAACAATATGTCCGTAGATGAGATAAATAGCATTTGACCTTCAGTTTGCCCTATAATGTCCATCTTTTGCGGTATTCGACTTTCAATAAGTGAAGCAGAAGAAGGTCACTCCTTGACTGCGGATATAGTCAATGTGAAAAATGGGCAGTATTTTGCCGAGATAACGGAAAGCTGATCAAAGCCTGCGTCTTCCCGGCCGATATTTGATATAATAATTGTAATGGATATTAGGGAGTGGAAAGAACGATAGGCTATTAATCAATACTTCTAGGAATACCATAAATTTAAGTCCTAACATATGGAGAACTTGCTATCGAATAAGAAGGACCAACTGAACTTGATAAGCAGTTCGAGGGCCATGTTGACGCTTGTGAGCACCAACTACGCCTTGTAGCGTTCGCATTCCATACTATTTTATGAGTTCCATGGCTCATCTCCGTCTGAGTCTTTGGTAACGAACCTATACTTGGACTCGTCCTTCCTCATTTCAAAGTATGCCTCTGCTTTAAATTAAAACGAAAAAGAAAATTCCATTATTTTACTGTGAAAGAAAATTAACAAGCTAACTAAAAGTAGGTGACATGTCTTTAATTTTTTTAAATCGTCATATGCTATAAGCCACTACTCATGATGATCAGCTGGAGGTAGTCATTAAACCCGGAACGGTCATACAAAGTAAATTAGCCCTGCGGTTGATATTGCAAAAACAATTTGACACTCATTTTTTTGCTGGCAGACCATAAACTGATTCTTTTATGCCCTGTATAAAGTGGAAAGGAGAAGTGCAGACGCGTAGTCGATGCAGTCAGAAATTTTTGCATCTGATATCATAGCGTCCGACCTAAAGCTTGAAGATTGTTCAATTGATTCCAAGTCGGCAAAATGAACCTTATTTTAACGTTCTTCTGCCGGACCCGGTGGGTTTGGCGTACCTTATTAGCATGAAATGTGATCTTTTTGTCTTAGCTAGCTGCCAAGTAACCACTGTTTTAGCTTTGTCTTCTTTACGCCATGAATAACTTTTGCCTTTAGCCAGTCCGGACCTCTGCCAAATTTTACATGAATATCTGTGCTCAGAATCGAGATATATCCAGTGATTTTTGTGTGCTCATTGACTAAAGTACGTGGACTCTCTGAGACCATGCCTGTTAATTATGCCTTGTGTTGAATATTCGTAAATAGCCCATGTTTAGGTTAAATTTCGCAGAATGAAAAGATTTTGATACAAAGACACTTAGATCTTATGATGAAATGTGCCAGCGTAGAAAAGTGAAGTTAAAAGAAGAGCTTAGGTGTTTGCGTGCGCCTTTCGGCCGCGCAGAAACCGAGTCATTGTCTGTCCGCTGACCTCTGGCTAGCGAAATCCCTTGGCTGCAAAAACTTGACCGCCAGCGGCTACCTTTCTGCGCATGTTCAGCAGCAACATGCAAATTAAGTGCACAGCTTACGAGTTGACAACCAAATCCCGAAATGGTTAACTTGAAAGCATTTTTCTGCGATCGTTGTCTGGCATGTGATCCTGGCTTGGGAGGCATTTTCACTACCAGCACAAGTATTTCACTAGTTAGGCCTTTCGAGATTTAAATCTGTAGTCTCTTATCTTTAACCAGGCAGTTCCTATGTGCTTATCGTATGCATAAAGCAAAGCAGTATTTGCTTGCAAGGCCTTCTTAATGTCTCTCCTTATCGTCAGCATTTTTGATCCGTTGTATGAGGTTTGCTGTCCTGTTCAGTTGCAATCATTTATAGCATACATTTGACCATAACGGGACCCAAGTCCGTGACGGAAAGCGTGAGGCTTTGCTATAACCAACGATTATTTAGGAAGATATATTGAGGCTTCTCGATCGAGGCGCCTTAGCTCGGAGGGCTAGAGTGTCGGTTGTATTGAAGTTCTGTCCCTTCTGTTTCAAGCCCGAATGACCGGGTTTTTCTTAATGTGGCAGTCACAGTATTTACAATTTTCAGAAATAGCAACGTGATTATGCGATGATTATACCCCATCCGGTGTTAAGCGTACTCCTTTGTTAAGGGTTTGAAACTGTGTACGCTACTTTCTGACGGCATTTTGGCAGTCATTAAGTATTTTCTAAAATAAATTATTTCGAACAATCATGATATCAGAAAGTTATAATTCGGAATCTATAATACTCAAAGATCGCTGACTTGTTTGTTATTAATCCTCCCCCATTAGGGGTAGCACCAGGTGGTAGAGAAATTTTAAAGTTGGTTACATCCAGTAAGAAAGCTTGTACTTCTGGCGTCTTGTGTCAGCTACTCGGCGCAACAAAGCGGAAAGCATAATTGCCCACATGTGAACCTTGACTATCAAGACTTAAAAAACGAAAATATATCAAAAGATGAAAATTACGCTGGACCTGTAGAATTATGTACCAAATTCCGTGATTTCGCAGGATAATCTTTGACAAACCGATTTCTATATGTCATTATCAAGACAAGAATATTCAACCTTTTAGTTTAGAGTAATGTTGGTTTATTTGAACATTAATGTCCACAGCCGGACAAAATAAAAAGAGAGATTAACAGGATCTGAAATTATGATCTGGAGAGGGGGAAATCGGAAAAACGGGCAGTGTTAAAAGTAAATGTCACATTTGATTGCCGAAGCAGTGCTCATGATAAACATTGACCCTGTCCAACCCATATTCGGTGCTGAGGATCATGCTGGCCAAAGTAATTCACCACCCAGAGAACACACAGGCGAAGGCGTCGTCTAACGCCTGCAACGGGGGCAGATGGCCAAGCAGTCATCACGCCCAGGTCCAGCACGGGGGATGAAAGTTCAGCAGGTCACGACCCGCACACCGGCCATCAAGAAATTAGTAATTAGCAATTAGCAACTATCCGCGATAGGGGAAGCCGTTAATTGTCATATGTATGCAGCGGCGGCATAGCGACTGGATCACATAAATACTGCAACTCCCTGTGTATGAATTACCCGTTTCTGCTACTGCAACTGATGATGGATCCGTGACGGATTTCAAAACGTCCTGTCCCAACAATCACATCTACTACTTCTCAAACGTTAACTCTCCATGAAATTCGTTAAGAAGTGGAAATAGAGACCCCTAATAATATATGTAGCCTTGCACTTAATTCAGGGAGGGGTATATATTCCTGTGTTTTAAACTTAATATCAAACAATACACAAACTTTGACTACAACCTTAATCCTACTTCAATCCTAACGTTAATCTGCCTGAAATCTAGCGCAGGACCACCTGTATTACAGGACGATTTCCTCTCTCCGTGTCTTATGTGAAATGGTCCTGGGTGCAGAGAACAATTTTGTGGATTAGTTAAGTAATGTAAATACTCAGAAACAGGACCCAGAAAATAAAATATCCACTTTGAATTGGTTTAAAGTTGCGAAAATTTTTATCTGAGAATTCAGAAGAGTAATCGGCGAGCGTATGCATGCCTGCGATAAATTCTCGTCGGGCCAGAGCATTTATATGGCAACAGGGTACAGGTTAAAACGCGTTCGTCTTCCCGTACAAGTGAGTTTTGGGTATATGGGGGTAGGGATCGATAAGAGAAGGCTGGTTAAGAGGACAGGGTTTGGTGCAACCAGTCTAGGGAAGGGGGAGGAGGAGGAAGGGAGACAAACAGAACAACTGTGACTGTCGTCCAAGCCAAACGCGGAGCTTGTACTAGGTTATTTTGTGCACATAATGCTGGCTTCATCAACCTGATAGTGGTCGCTTCTGCTGTTGCTAGCACTCGCTGACCCAGGGACTTTGGATGCCGTCTAGGTTCGAGAAAGCAAATAATCCTCGTTGATGGCCCGCAATGTCCACGGTGACATTTCCTGTCGCTCATGGTACCAAAGCAATATTTCTTGTGCCTCCCCTTTAGTTGAATCCGTTAGCAGCTATCAGTTACAGTATGATATAGACCTGTTTCAATGCGTCCTGCCAGAATAGTTTCATTAGCTCATTGCTCATTGCATTTCCCTTCAAGGTGGAAATGCAGCTATTAAATTTTTGGTGGTCCTTGC